AATCACCCTGAAATACACCCCTTCTGAAAGTGACCCACCCTGTTTGGACTCTTGCTTGACCAGACGTTATGGTGAAGCGAGTTCGCCAAAGTGGTATCAGTTGTTCAATGCATCTCACTATGTTATCGAGTACCGCAAGGCATCTGAGCAAATGAAAGATGAGCTCATGCGAAATTGTATCAAATGCCTTACGGTAATCGATCCAGGCCATAGAGAGGTTACGCTTATATTGTATCGAGTCCTGCGTTACACATCTTATTATTATTATCATTATTGAAAAAGTTTTATTTCTTGACATCCAGACATAAGTGAAAATTCCCACTGATCCATTTTGTTGGAACAGTCTATTAGATTTTCAAATGGATAAATTCCAATTCTCGACTAATTCATTTAATGTTCTCTCGAGATAAATGCACAGCAAAAAGAATAAGAACACCTTTTCCATTTCACCTGAAATTTCGATGCAAATCAAATTATTCGATTGGGAAAAATCCTGTTCTCATTCCTAGTGAGGGAGTTTTATGAATAATTAAGTAAAAAGCGTTTTTTCAAACGCCTCACGTAAAGTTCTTATGAATGCCAGAAGAGCAGGTGATTGAATCAATTATTTTGAATTAGGTTGAGCGTTTGAAAGGGATATTTGAATAAACTTTTCAATTGAATTATCGACTGATATTCTGCACTTCGCTTTTTTTCGTTAATTTAAAAAATGGCAGTTACGTTTATTCCACCTTTAATAATTCGACGAAATAACGTATGACCAATATAGTATTTTGGAGATTACGTCTCCAAAATTTCTATCAAAATTTCACTCAAATCAATATGCAAACGAGTACATAAACCATGCAACGTCAATCTCGCCATTACTGTAGGTCGATTGTGCACAAATCCTTTATAATGCTAATTTTGAGCACCAGCTCAAAATTTCGGATATTAAAAGTGAGGGACTTTATCCCCCTCCCATAGTAATATATTCAAGAATGAAAGAGACGAATGAAAAGTAATATAATAATTTAACTATCGCAATATGATGATTCAATTTATAGGGACTTCAGACGTCACAACATATGGTTGTCATTTTTCGGCCACATGGAAATATCCGCATATACCAGGGTCACAGTACAATAATACAACGAGTAGGCTCTCTATTACCACGTGATCCGCCCGAGTTGCCGGGGACCTTCAACCGTTCTCAGGATGAGATTTTCATCCAACGCGTTCAGTGCTGTAGTATCGAAGGATTCGACGGTCCCACGGGCATCGAATTAGTTGAAATGAACGGTCGGAAATTGATATCGTGTTTAGTTTATTCGCTGTTGTTATTATTGTCTTTACTTTTTGAAGTTAGTTATGAGTAATTTACCACAAAATATTCTATAATAACCCTAAATTTCGTTTTTATATGAGCGCATACCTATGGTAAAGGAACGAAATTGACCCCACACTTCGTTTTGAGGTCACCGAGAACTTTGTGAGTTTATGAATTGAAGTAGTGGGAGTGGACTTACTGGTTGATTTTTACTATGCCAGGGTGGTCCCAAAAGTCCCCAGACTGACCTACAAATGACGGTAGTTTTTTGGAAAATATCACTGTATTAGATAGTACACAACCTACGAAGCATATGTTTCAAGATTGAAGACGCTGCGTTGTTTAGTATTTGTTTGGTAGCCATCAATAGCGAACGTTTTCGGTGGATTCGTGAAAATGAAGAAAATTGATCATCGTTATGTGGTACAATACTTTGAATTGGAAAGCCTCAGTCCAACCAAAATAAAAGCTGAGCTGGATTCCACTCTGGGTTCACAACAGTGAAATATTGCAAGCTGTGTGTAAGATGAGTGCCACTTTTGCACACAATGGAGCAAAAACAGTGACGTGAAGATGTTTCAATTGAGTGTTAAACGAAGTTTTACAGCAACGAAGCAGAATTCTTGCATCATGGATAAAACATGAGTCCATCACTCCAAGTCATACATAGGAAGCTATTCGAAAAGGGGGTCCTGGAAGATAGAACGAACTATAGAAGTATTTATTGGATTACTAGGATGCTGAAGGACAAATTCTCTGCACAAGATGAGGGACTCCAGTTATAGCCAACATATATATGGAGTGGTTAGAAACTCTGGCCAATGGAGAAGCCCACAAGAAACCCCGAGTCTGCTTGAGATACGTTGACGACACCTTTATAATATGGAACCATGGAAATAATGAACTAGACGCTTTCTTGAAACACATCAACAGCATAAGATCTTCCATCACTTTCACAATGGAGAAGGATGTCCACAACGAATTGCCATTCTTAGACGTATTGGTGAAGAGGACCGACACTAAGTGGGGAACATCTGTATACCGAAAATTATTTTTGCTTAATATAATTTGTATTCTCAGCTATTGTTTTTAATTTTTCATTTGTATTGGTTTTTTAGTGATTTCAAATCAATCAAAACAGTGGACTCAGAAGGGAAAACCGGCTCCAAAGAAGACAAAGACCGTTTCATCTGCAGACAAAGTCATGGAATCGGTTTCTTGGGATGGGCGTGGACTATTTCCATTGACTATCTTTGAAAAGGTAAAACTATGAATGGCGAGTGTTATGCGAACTCATTGTAACGTTTGAGTGAGGAAATTTAGCCAAATTAGCCGCATTTGGCTAAGAAAAAGGTATTGTTCCATCAAGACAATGAACTAGCTCACAAATTCATTATCGCAATGACCAAAATTAACGAATTAAAGTTTGAATTGCTACATCATGCACCCTATTCGCTAGATTTAGCTCCCTCGGATTATTTTTTGTTCCCTATGACAAATATATTCCAACGATGAAGAAGTGATGTCGGCTATTTTGAGAAGCAAGACAGTTCTTATTATAAAAACGGCATCGAATAAATACGTCGCTAGGAAAAATGTATAGACCCGAACCCATTGAGGTGGTAGATGCATTTTGAGCATTTCCATCAGTCCTGAGAGTTTAATCGTTCCACCTCGAATATTACGGAAGATACGGGGGTGTTTCTATAAACAGTAAGACAAATTCGGACTGAAATAAATTTTTTCAGGAAAAAAGTGTATTCGTAGTGAGTTGGTAGTCCTGATCACGAATCTGAAGGAATTTTGAGCCTATTTTGCCCCCTAATATGTTTAACCGTAAAAATGGGGTGTTCCATCGCAAGTGGCGGACAGTGTATATCACTTTGGCCAACCCCATTCAGGTGGTAGGTGCATTTTGAGCATTTCCATCAATCCTGAGAGTTTCATCGTTCTACCTCGAATATTACGGAAGATACGGGGGTGTTCCCATGAGAAGTGAGACACATTGTATAACTGATCACTATTCCATTTTTAAACTTCATTTCGCTGCAGATATTTGCACTGGCAGCGCTCTACTTTATTTTCACGATCCATTCCACTGCCCGCGTACCTTGCATTGAAATCTTACGTTTGTGTCCTTTTTGCGACCTGGAAAAATGCAATTACAGCTCCTTTGAGGACTAATTCCTGCTTTATCACACATCAGACAACAAAGTGATTCTCAGAAAATGTGTAAAAGACGCTGAAGAAAAAGAGAACCCTCGAGAATCGCAGGACCCTTTATAATTTGACGCTTGTAGAACACCAAGTACAAACCCATGACCAGTTTCAATTCGACACAGGGCCGGCTTAGTAAAATCATGCGATTATCGATGAAAGGTGTACATAATGAGAATCTAAGAGGTATGAATGATCTGACATATCAGGTATGCTGTGAAGAGGTGTGGATTCCTGAAGATAAGCTATTAAAACATATGTACAGATCTTGCGAGACCAGAGCCAATGGTTGCTAGGCCACCGGCTGATTTTATTCATGCTTAGACAGAGTTTAACCTCAAACAGTCAACATCTAAGCCAGGACTTCCATAAATAGAGTTATTTTTGAAGTTTCCTAAGAGAAAAATAAAGCTTTGTTCGCCGCAGGGGAATGATGAACCACCACGATGGTCTTAGTTAGAATCAGAGTCCTTACCCTTTCTACCACAATAA